TCTTCGTACTCTTGTCTGTTGGGATTAACCCAAAATTATGATCCATGCACTGATCCCACATAACTTCCTGTAGCGAGTGATTATGTTATATAATGCTACAATAGATAATTTTATCATATGGTGATTGTATCATATGATTATTACATTCTTACATGCTTATATATTGATACATCAAATAGCCATATCAACTAATATGCAAGTGCATAATTATAAAAATAGTCAAATGCCCCACAACCCTGAAAGGAAAGAAAACAAAGAGAGATGATCAGATAAACTGAAGAAACTGTCATGTTGGGTGAGGATTGGAAGGGGCAATGTGACCTAGTAGAGGTAGTGTGAAATCAGTATATTATAAAGCCTACAGGCATAAGACAGAAGGCCTATGGGCTATGACATAAGGCCTACGAGCTATATGACATAAGGCCTACGGGCAATAGAAGCATTGCAAACTCTGAAGCCTACGGGCCAAAAACATTGATGCGGACATCCAACGGTGGACGATATTCAAAGGTAGAGTCGAAGATCGACAGCCGAGATCACTCCGTTTTATTTTAATTTATTAATTGTATTTTGATTTAATTTTGCAATTTTCCTTTCTTACCATTTTTTTAAGAGTCTTGTCTTATGTAAGCCCAATGTGCAAATTTATCTTTTAGTTTCTTTTGAGACCTATATATAGAGGCCCCTTCTCTTGTATTAGGTATGATGAAATTACAATAAAATTTGTTTTATGCACGTGTTGTTTTGGGAGGACGTTTGTGAGATTCCTATGGGAAGGAATCGGAGTTTTCACTAGCCGCAGGATGGGTCCAGGTTCATGGCTTGAAGTCCCTTGGAGAAGGACAATGTATCACCCGTCAGTCTTCGAAAGAGTCTAAGGCTCGCGATTTTATCTTTTATCTTTTGTTTCTTTGTTTTTGTTCCTTCTTGTTGTTCTTAGTCGCCATCTTCATCCTCTCCCTACTACCACCAAACCGGCCTTAGCTCCACCACCACTCACGGCTAAGCCACAAGCAGCCGGCCCTCCTCTTGGTTTCCTCCCATCTCCACTTGCCATCAAATCTTTCCTAAATTAGTTTTCATATTTTAGGTAATTATCTTAGTGATCAAATTCAAATCTATTTGAATTTGAATAGTTGTCTAATTTATCAATCCTATTTTATGACACTTACTAATTCATAGCCTATTTAAATTTTGAATTAAATTGGGATGAAATCTTTCATTCAAATTTAATTTATTAATTTAGGAAAGGTTTGAATGCCTCATTAAACTCCCTTCTTTGTTCCCTTCCTTTTTCTTGCAAAATTCATTTGGGAAATATTTTCTTTCAATTCCCCCAATCCAAATTTGAGATTTGAATTGTTTCCTTAAATAGGATTCAATTTTAGGAAATTCCTCCAATTTAATTCAAATTAACAAATAAATTAGATTGGAATTAATTTCCTTTATGTTGGGATTCACAAAGAGGCAAGTAACTAAAGCTTTCCCCAATTCTCCCTCTACCTCTTTGAAACTGCCGCCCCCCTTCCTACCCGACGCCCTTTCCCCCCCTCTTGCTCTTGATTGAAGCCTACTTTCCTTTTCCATACACCCTCGTTTGGGAATTGTTGAAAGGTGTTGTAGTTTGGTAATTGGATGGTGGCATCCTCTCTGTTGCGGTCCACGTCAACTATTTGAGGGATGATCTACATGGGGCATGACAATTTCGACCTCAGTTTAGAAATCATCCGCTAAAAAGTCCTAGCTAAACTGCAAATAAGTTTGAGTTGAATCCTCAATTAAATCTAACACCCTAGAAACCCCATATGCAAAGCGAAAACCAAAATCAAGTTAGGAGGATGAAACTTCAATTAACCTTCAACCTCCACCAAATCCAAAAGAATATTCAAATGAAGAAAAAACTTCACTAACTCCACAAGTAGAAGGATTGTCAAATTCAAGCCAATTGGCTACAACTTTGGTTGTTCCTCAATCTGAATTACAACCTATTTCTCAAAGCCAAAAAGAGAAACGTCAGACATTTCAAGGAGGACAATTAGTCTTATAGTGCAAGCCAACTATTCCCCACCATCATTGAGAATCCTGAGAAAGGATTCCAAGAAGGGGCTATTAACTCAACAATCTGAATGACCAACTATATATGCCTGTAATTAATGATCAAAATTTGAATAAGTGCTACACAAAATATCTTCTACAAAACGACTAAATCAAAAGTGTCATGCCGAAAATACCCCTCCAAGACATGAGCATTTTTTATATTTATTTGAGCTAACATCATGCATCATGTCAAAATTATAAAATAGACACCTATAATTATCAGCACCAAAACTTATATGTTTGTGCAAGCAAAAAGAAAAATCAAGTTTTAAGCAAGTATTACAAGCCGACATTTCTAAATGATCACAAAAATCCGCATGTAAGATAGAGGCATTTCAAAAGTTTACATTTAAAGATTATAAAATTTTTCCTAGAGGTATTTTTAAATATTTTTCTGGATTGCATCATGCTCCACACCAAGATTCCAGAAAAAATATTTAAAATAATTAACAATACATCTCATCTAATCGCACAACCAAATATAAAATCAATTTTTTTAACTAGCACACTGGCAGTTCTCAAAAGCCAAAGATTTGCCAATTAGAAAAAAAAATAAAATAAAATAAAAACCAAAGCTTTGCCTATTCAACTCATTAAGATTTTGAAAGTCAAGAGAGAGGACTTTCAAATCTACGAGCTTCAATCAGTCAAGTTGGAAAAGCACAATTTCTTATAGCTCCAATTTAAAACATAAATTAAAACCTATTAGATTTACGGAAATGAAAGGCTAACAGGCACCAAACAGCAGCCCCAAAACCAGCATACAGCAACCCTTAAATCAGCACAAAAAACAGGGGAATAAGGGCCACGAGAAACTAGCCAGCAGCCACGGGAAACCCAGCCAGTAGGGGTCCCGAAAAGCCACACAGGAACCGAAGAAGAGAGGCGCGGAAACCAGCCAGGGAACCACGGGAAAACCAGCAGCAAGGGACCCGAGGAGTCACACAGAGAACGGAGCAGCAGGCACAGGAAAACAGCCACTAAAAACTGAAGAGACAAAGGGGAGGGGGAAGAGAAAGGATCACCTCATTATGAGCTACCAACTTAGCACATAAATAAACTAAACTTCAGCTCATAATGAGCTAACCATCAGCTCAAGCATTAATGAGCTAAAATTAAGAAGATTTTTTAATAAAATAGCTCAAAACCAAGTAGCCAAAGGCCCAAAGTGAGAGCACCAGCAACCTAAGGGTCAAAGCAAATTCTCATATTGTTTTGACCCCCCTTTGCATGCATCATGCTTCAAAATCAAGATTCAACAACAACCAAAGATCAAAATACAATATTGAATGCCTACGTCTCAAATATATTGAATGCCCACATGCTTGAGGTAGGATGTTTTACAGTAAAACATTTCCAATGCACCTCTAGCATGCAATTAAAAGTAGATGAGATTAATCGATGCAAAAAAGCATGCACCTTTGGTGAAAAAGCAAGCATTTAATCTAAGACTAATTATATAATATTTTTAAAGAAAATTGAAAAATAACAAAATCCAATTCAAACGAATAAAATTTTGGCAATGAATAATTTCAGGATCATGAAAACAATAAAAAATGATAGAAATTTCATGCAGAAAAAATAAAATCAAATTGTAGAAAATTTGACAAAATTAGGTCACACTTTCAACCAATGAAAACAAACAAAGAGAAGAAGAAGTGAAAGAGAGAGAATTGAAGGAAAATGAATGAAGTAACAACTGGGCAAGTTCACACTTGATTATTATTATCATATAAATAACGATCTACAAATCCAAAAAATTTGAAGTTATAAAATTATTATTTTAACTGCCTTGAAAGGCCTATCTATAGACCTCATTAAATAAGATAAATAGCACCACTAATGAATAAGCATGCAGAAACACAGAAGTAGCCTAAAATTTGCAAATAACAGAAATCATCGGAATAGTCAAGGCAATCACAAGGAGACCCTTAAAAACAGAAGCAAAAAAGCCATACGAATAATTCCCAGAAGAAGCAAAATAGCATCTTATGCTTTCACCAATAGCCAGAACCTAAGAGGCTCACAAACAGCCACAACCGAGAAACTTTGAAAAAAAAAAAAAACACAAAAAAACATTCAGCATAATCCAATAAATAGCCGCAAGGAACCCCTGTAAGTAGCAACAATAGAAGATTGCTTTCTTAGGAATCAAAGGAAAAGGAATCGCACCAAGTGAATAAACCAAAGTTGAACGAAAATTCAACTAAAGTATGTCCATAAATAACCTATTGATGCATGAAAACAGCACTCAGAAAGAAAAAGAATACGAACAGCTTTTCAAGCCACATATGTAAGTTATATCAAAGCGTCTTCATTTACTAGCTGTACTGACTAGTAACTGATGCTTAAAATACATTTTAAATAAATTTGAATTAGCAACTGCATCACTCAATCATGCCTTACAGCCATAATATTATAATTAGAACCACCTGAAATATACCTCAAATAAGTAAAACTGACTCTAACGTTAAAGCAAATTTTGCATGTTACAATACTGTAGCTCGGAAACAATGGCTTATGCGAGACAAGGTGAATGTCCTAAACACCTCAGTTTACAACTCACGGGTAAAGGGTGACTGAATGTGCTTTCGTGCACAGAGATCAATATTGATGCGTTGAATATGATAACATTAGGGACAAGTTCGGCAGTAAAAAGAAGGTTTCAACTTCTGGCATTTAGTTCAGATTATCTCTTGCAGGATTTCAACGTGAACTTTCAGCGTGACATTGGAATTATGATAATTTTCATTGACAGGTCCATGCAGACTACACTAAAGCAAATACCACTCCCCTAAGCATAATTAATTATCATCATCATTAACGTTATCCCAACTATTTGGGTTTACTGGTTAAGTATGCTCAATAAATATTTTGTAAAAGAGTAAAGAGTTTATAAACCAAACAATTGAAAGCTATCAAAGATTGTGACCTACCATACTAAAAAGACGCAAAAGATCTGAATCAGCATTATCAGGATCAGGAGTCTTCAATTTAGCACTTATAGTTATCAGTGAATCGTATGCCAACTTTCTGGATTCCTTCTTGGACTGCATATTCAAAACAAATTTTACGCAATGTTGCAATCAGGATAAAAGTATCAATTTAAAAAAATAAAAAAATAAAAAAATGATGAAAGTATCAGTTGTATAATTGTATTACATAAGCAAAACTGCTAAGCATTTTCTTTCAACTTAAACAATCTGAATCCTTCTCCTATCATGCATTTAGTTGAAACATCCTCATAACAGAATCTCTAATAATAGTTTAAGCTAAACTCCAAAATTCAATAAGTTAAGATTCTCTAGATCACATTCCATGCTCAGAATGCTGGATCTTCAGTCTAAAATAAATAATTTCAACAAATAACATTCTAAACCATTTCATCAACTATGAGCGTAAACAAATCAGATTACTACAAAAAACAAATAGTCAAAACCTGCATTTTCATAGGAAATAATTTCATGCAATAATGTTTAATACGATTGATCTAACAAGCAGTAGTTTCATCTTCATTTGGCTTCTCAACAAGAATGGGTTGACAATGATCACCCCACTTGAAAAGTACAATACAATTTGTTGCACATTCAACACTACACAAAGGGCCAGTCTTGGTTTGTCAATAAAAGCAACACCTTCTACATTGAAGAGGTTGAAAAGTTGAATGTCTTGAATATTCAGAAATTGTATATTCTCTACAACTTATCAATACTTCCATAAATGTCAAGTATTCCCAATATGAAAGGTAAATCATCAAAAGCTGGCATTCTGTCTACATGATGTAGACAACGGGGGGGGGGGGGGGGGGGGGGGGGTGGTCAACTTATGTCCAAAATAATATGAATTTTGGTTTCCCTTGAGTCTACTAGCTCAATCAAAATTGAGCTGAAATTTTAGCTCATTTATGAGCTGGTCTTTAGCACTTATTGAACTAAGGGTTAGCTCATTATTAACTATGATTTTAGTTCATAGTTATCTTTTTATTAAATGTATTTTTATGTTTTAATGTTTTAAGTTTTAATGTCTTAAAGTTGTCTCTTGGGTTTCCAAAAAAGGCTTTTGGAATCCCAAGTTATTTGTTTAGTTCGATGCACCTGTATCCTTCTTCTCTAAGTGCAGCAACTTTAGGGTGTCTTTGAGATCGAGTCGAGTTTGTGTTTTTAATTTATTTTTATTTCTTAATTTGAAATGTAAGAGTTTGTTCGTCCCTCTTCCTCATCTTTAGTCATTTTCGTCGGTAGAAGTCTGTCGTGTCTTTTGTGATCAAGAGATATAGGCTCCCCTATATTTCTTGCCCCCATCACTACAAGGATACACTTCAATAGCAAAACTTTAGTTTGCAAGTTAACTTTGCCTTTTTGGTGAACTTTAGTATTTCAATTGGATGTACCCAAACAAACCACTACAACACATGCATTTGTCAAAGAAAAAAAGCTTTAAGAAAAAAAATAGTATTTGAATTCATCTAGATATATATTGGGAAAAGCATCGGTGATTTTTGCAATGTCTTGAACAAGACTGCTGTTATTATTTCATGTACTAGTAACAATACATTGATTTAAAAAAAGGGGGCATACTCAAAGACATTGAAACTCCCATTAATGCAGGATTTGGGTAAGGCTTATGATTGCAGTCTTACTCTACACGATTGAAAGGTTATTTGTGTGATTTGAGCCCATCAACTCTCAATCACAATGATATCTAGCAATGATCTAGGCATACTAATGCATGAAATGACGATCCCAAAAATGAATATGCTTAGCTTAGTTATGCTATTACGCTCTTTAAGGTCAAATGTAAATGTTTAAGTTATGCTATCATGTCATCTTTGAATGCTCTCACGTTATGAGTTATGTTTCAGAAAAGTTTTAGATCTTATACGAAAAAGGACTTAAAATAATTATTGTAGTAGGATTTGTAATGTCCTTACTAAAAGCATAAGGATTTATGTATAAAAGTGTACCCAAGCCTTCTGAATAGTGAACAAATGAATGACTGGCCCCTCGTTGGTTTTTCCTTATATGAGTACCCCCACATGGGTTTTTCCTCTTTCCATCTTTTGTTATGAACGGTAGCTGGAGATCAAGAAGGTAGTCTCTCGTGCGATGTGCAAGCTTTCCCTCTTTTGTAGACTATTAAGATACATTAACCCCCTCATCTCTATACTTTTCAAAGTTTCTTTCTGGGTTTAATTAGCATTTTCATGTTTCCACTTTCTTTCTCCATTATTTTCTTATCAAAGAAAGATTAATGGATAATGTTTGCTTGATGCTGAAATTTGCTATAAAACTACTATTTTCACAATATCAAAGTGAGTTTTCATCTTCTTCGATACACAAAGTTATTTTGTTTAAATCTTTTCTAGAAAAATTATGCCTTCATGATGAAACTATCGACAAAAATTCACTTCATTCCAAGTTTGTTTGATGCTAAAAAAATTTCAAACATTCAAATTTTCTAGGTCCATTTTTGAGGTCTCGGTGTTCTGTTGAAAGTAACTCAGGTAATTTTTCTCATATTAGCATCCCTTACTCATCTTTTCTATCCTCATTGGACACTTCATTGATTTCCGCGATAAAGCCTCCAGAAAAAAGAATAAAAAAAGAATGGAGTCTAATTGAGTACTAACAATTGACCTCACAACTTGCTCCACAATTCAATACAAATACATGTTATTCAAAACTGGATGGTAATGTCCGGTTCAACCAATTCAACTATTAACTGATCATACGGTGAGTCCAGACCATCTTAAAAATTGGCATTGCATCAAACTGATTTAACTGCTCAGAACCACTGTGCAACCGATGAATTAGGCTTCGTTTTGGATGACTTTTTTTGTTGCGTCTAAAAGCAGCTTTCTAGTATAAAATTTTAATTTTCGTAATAAAAAGAAAGTCACCCCAAACAAAGCCTTAATCTCATGTTATAAAGTTTAGGAATGTTCTGAAGCCTAGTCGTATTCTATTGGAATATGTTGTGTTTCTATAAGTCATGTATAAGTCCTTATGAATCTTCTATCTAAAAGGGCTAAAATCATTATTATAGTAGGTTTTGTTGTGTCATTATTAAAAGTGGAAAGACAAAAGTGAAAAGAGTACCTTAGCCTTCTATTATTAATAGGCCAAAAGCTCATTTGAAATGGTTTATGATAAAATGAAAATTTATCTTCTTTGCTTCAAGTGATTGACCCCTTGTGCTCCCCTCTTTCTATCTTTGTGAGTGGGGTAATGAATACGAAGTGATAAAATGTCTTCCAACTAGCATACAAGGAAGCTTACCAAAATATAGTGCCAAGAATAGTGTTCCACAACAACTGTAAGTTGCCCACCTTCATCTTCACCCTCTTTCCTCTCAGTTTCCACTCTTTCTGCGCAACCAATTAGGTTTTCATGTTTCAATCACGTTCATCCTCCATCACCTTTGCAATATCCTTAAGTGTAAATATACAAAAAGCTTTTCAAAATTACTACCCACATCAGACTTTGAGTGATACTGATAGGAAACACTTGTAGATCTCAAGTATTTTCCATCAATCTACAGAAAACAGCGAGAATTCTTCACAAAAAACCACACAAAATCACAAAAAACAGTATATAATTTGTATTATTTGATGAAAGGAACACAGAAAATAGCAAGATACACTTGATCCTCAATTCGAGAGGAGGATCGATCTCTCACAAATCTCTAGACGCCGCTAGAGCCCAACGAAAGCCTAAATCTAAGAGATCTCAAATTTCAACCAAATTCAAGATGCCCTAACCCTAGGAAAACAAACAATTTAATGCATAAAAATCGAAAGGAGTTCCCTAAACAACCCCTACATTCAAATTTCCCTCTTAATTCCCCCAAATTTCTTTCCTATTTGGCTCCCGCACGGTGTGCGGCTCGCTCGGCATCCCAATGGGCGGAAATTTTCCGACTTGTTCGCGTCTGAGCCGATCCCGCGTGGACCGGCTGGACCGGTCTAACATATACTTCCACAAATTTTAGCAATGTCATGTATCTTGTGATAACAGCAAGCACTCATATTCTATATCCAAAAAGTACACAAGTCCTTTGAGCTTGATATAGAATAATTGGGCCATAAAAGTTTGCAGTTTTAATCGTTGAAATCCTCAATTGTGCATTCAAATTTCTTTGGATAGTAATACTATTACCAAACCCTTAAAAGATGGTTCAAATACCAAAATAACTTTACAATAAGATTATCATAAATCAACAAACGACCAATCAAAAGTCACCAACCGCACATGCAATCATCAATTTGGAAATGATAAAATACGCAATAATGAAGGAATTTTGGTATGTAACCATCTATTGACTTTTTTGTAACAATGGAAGGATCTTAGGAAATTTTGGATCAAATTCAAAGACCCAATGATGGTAAGTGACAACTCAATAGTACAATAATTATCGAGGAACCTAAGTCTAGTTTACTGTTTTTCATGCAAATTTAATGAACGACCAATTTTATAATATTTGACCAAATAAAAGCAATCAATATTTACAAACAAATCACTACAGAATTACATAGCAAAACTTTGAAAAAAAAATTGTTTACATTTATGTGAGATCATGCATGCCTAAGCATGTGTTATAGCCCATGGCATAGTGCTAAACCTGTGTTCTATGGCAAAATGTAGCAAAGCAAAATATTGTATGCAATGCATGTATTATACTGCATAGCGCACATGGTATGTGATGTTTTATTTTTAAAAGAATTTATTAGTTCATTTAAATTACTGACATGAATAAAAAAATTTGTTGGATGCTATACATAGTGTAATGAGTGCTTTCACTGTTGAGCAGCTCTCGTGCAAACATTTTTTAATATCGTCTAATTAAAGCAAAATTGCATATTATAGGAAATATAAATATTTATCCTCATCAACATATAAGGTTTTAACCTACAATGCTTAGGTGTTGTATAATAATTTATCATCCAAGGCTTAAAAAAATTAGATAACTATCTTTATTATTTTGAATGAGAAATAAGGCTATGCCTTATAATTAATGCAGTGATTAAGAATGACTCTACTCTTAAGTTGAGCTTTTGTATGTTTTTTTTTTCCTTTTATCTCCTTTATCAAGAAAGCGATAAATGCTCTATTCTATATATTACCTTCCTTATACGCTTAGTCATTCTATCAAAATCTTTTACTTTCTTTTTCCGAGTAATCTAAACATTCATCAATCTCCCAAAACTTTCCCTATAACTGAAATAACTATCTTTCTCAAAATGGAATTCGTTACTATTGGGCTTATGAATATGAAGAACTAGTAAACACCTTTAAAAGTGTAAATATAATTAGATATGATAGAGAAAGTATGAAATCATTTTCAAAGGTTAATGATGAGGACATCAGTAGGAGACTTCAACACGTCTATCATTGGAGGAATCATAGATCGACGGCTACGATTCAGCCTCTATTTATGATTCATTTATGTAACTCTTTTGTTTATATTTCAATTTTACCATTGTACCCCGGTGAGGGATTTCTTTTATGTTGTAGCCCCGAGGGCATTTGAGTCTTTTTATTTTCTGTATGTTGGAGGCCTTAAGGCCTTAGTCCTTGTGTTAGGATTAATGATTAATGAATGAAAATTTCAGCTTTGGTTCATTGTTTTGTGAGCTCTTGAGAGAAGAGAGAACCCAAGGAGAGGGCCAAGCATCACCCGTCAGCTGCCGGTAGAGGTCGGGCTCGCGGTTCACATCCATATTATTTTTCTTCTTCCCCTCCCTCTGCTCCCACCGTCGGCCATCCTCCCTCCTAAGTTCTCGGCTAAATCCCCACCACCATCCTTCTCCTTGAGCCAACCACCCATCCACCCCGTCATTCAAGCCGCCATCCACAAGGATCCCTCCTCTCCTAACCACCACTTTACAAAGCCCTTCCACCCCTCCTAGCTGCCACCATCTAAATCCTATCCCCTTAATTGACCGCTGGCCATAGTGCCCCTCTTTGCCTCCAAATCTTCAAGTCCCAAATTACTTCCTTTCCATATGTAGTGTATCTCAATTTGGAAATATTTCAAATTCAAATTTCAATTCTAATAGAATTGAAACACTTTCCTAAATTAGTCAAGCTATAATTGGAAAGTTTCCAAATTCAAACCATTTCAAATTTGAATTTAAATTAAAGAGATCCTCATGATTAAATCTCTTAAATTTAATTAACCTTGTTTGGAAACCACTTAAATCCCTCCCCCTTTCCCTAGCCGCCGCCTCCTATTTGGAAAGCTTCCAAATCTCTCTCCTTTGATTTGGAAAGCTTCCAAATCTCAATCAAACCTTGCCTAAACTTATTCCCCAATCAAATCCTAGCCTATGCCGCCCCTCCCTCTCTCTCCTATTTAGTTAACACCCACATTAACCTCCCTAAATCACCACTCAAACCTTTCCAAGTTCAGCCGCCACTGCCCTTGCTCTTCCCCTAATTTTCTACAAAGTGTTCTCCCCAAAACAGCTCCTTATTTCCAGTTTTTGGATTTCCAAGTTGCTGTCCAGATTTTCTGGACATTGTTTGGGGGCTGTCCAAAGAATTCTGCACTTCCCCTTGCTGCCCAACCGGCCAGGAAATCGACGCTTGCTGTCCGGAAGTTCCAGCACACCAAAATCTGTTGTTTCCTCATGCATGGTGGATCTGGAACTTGATCACAGGTTCGTTTACGATAACCAAGGCCACGTGATATCTTCAACTCTTCCTTCTTCAACCTCAACGTGGAAATCGACGACACCGTCGACGACTACGTCGACCGCATCCTCTTCACCTTGATGTCTTCTATTGAAGAACACCAGCGCTCCGAACATTGGCAAATCATCAGACATCCACCAACTTCATACCCTCCGGCTACCTCTTCGTTGAGCAAGACCGTAGGCATTCTCTTTCTTTTGGTGGCATCACTAGGCTTGATGAAATTATTCTCCCGCTGACCCCACCATCAAGAGTATAAGTGGGGAGAACTCAAGGTAAAGTTTTTATTTGTTAAACGGTGAATTTTGTTATTTTGCTTCTAGTGTTACTACGCTTTTGTTCTTATTTTAAAATGTCCTCTTAAAATATCTTGTAACTGCATGCCAAAGCAAACTGCAACTAAGAAATCCTAGACTCTTATCTTGGTGAAACATTGAGTTTAAAATTAACAAAGCTTATCAACTTGTTATTAATTCTTAAGCAATTCATGTTTCCATATATGTTTCACATCAGTTATGTATGCTCATACTTTTATTAATTATTATTGATAAAGAGCTTAATATGTATCCATCCACATCCTTCTCCCCCCTAAACTCTATTCATGATTTACCTCTTCACCATTTTCCTATCATTTGCTATTAAAGACTTAAAGTTAAACTATTGTACCTGCAAATTAAGTTGTTAGATAAAAAGGGTAGCCTTTAAAGGTTAATTTTTGGGTAAAAGATGTTTTATATGAGCTAGCATTATTCGGGTCAAGAATTGCATTTAGTCATGTCAATCTCTAAGTTCATTGAAATATTTTCTTGCTCTTATTACTACAGCTCTCTAGTCTCATAATTCATTGCCTTCATTTGAAGTGAACAAGCCAAAAACTCTTATAATATCCCTATGTAATTAATATGTAATAATAAAAGCATACAGGCCCTTAGGTGCGAGTATTTATAATTATATAACATTAATAGCATCTTTTTGCATTAGAATATTTTTCTCTAATATTTTTAAATTTTTAAATAAATTCTTCACAATTTTTTCATGTTTTGCATTATTTTTAAAATAGAAAACAATGAGATATACACTATGGCTTCACAAAACCTTTGTGCTACGTTATTCACTATTGGCAAATATGAGTGAGATAGAGTGGATGCTTAAAACAATATGAAATATTTTTTTTATTCAAGCTCATGCTATTATCTCGCGGTTTGCAAACTTGTGGCATTTCTATTTATTTGAGATAAAATAAAAGTATAAAACTCATCTTTAATTTAATAAAAAGAGAAATACATGATATAAAAGAATTACATTGAAAAATTAATAGATCAATAGTATACATCAAATGAAAAGAGTAATACCTCTAAAAACGACTAACTACTAAGCAAATGGTATTGCCTAACATCTAAAGTGGCGATCTAAGGTTTGAATACTTTCTGAAAAAATACTCAAAACAAATACCAGTAAAGAAAAAAAAAGATACAGTTTAAAAAACAAAACTTTTACTGACACAAACACAAGTGGAAATTTAAATAACTTCTAGGATAACATTATGAAGCTTTAAAAATGTAAAAAAAAAATCTTGAACTGTAAAGCCCATTAAGAAGACAATCCATATCCACAGTTTATTATGCTATTGGCCTAACAAACTAGGCAAAATTGGATTCCAACTTCTTTAGCATGAAAAGTACTAATGCTAGTTATTGTCAACTATATCATTTATCAGGCTGGTAAATATCGGTGCAGCATTCTTTAAAGAAAAACATCCTTTGAAGATATTCAAATTAACCTGTAAAGGAAAATACTTTCAAAAATGTCTTAAAGAAGTCGAACCTTAAGTGTGAGCAGAATCTCATTCAAAATAAAAAATGCTTTAGTATTCATGTCAGCCGCATGGCTCTGCAAAAAAAAAAATCCTATATTAGAGCTACAAAAATAGCCCAGATTAATGAAACAAATTAATGCAATGAGAAGCACCTAAAGCAACGACCGCATGCAAGGAATAGACTTTAAAGATGATCAATGAAACTAAATTAAAAAAAAAAAAAGTTATGAACATTAAGGCAATTATAAAATTGAACTCTAAGACTTTTGAATATCCACAAGGGAGGATACATCATTGAAGCAAGCAGCATGTGGTTGAAAGATCAACTATAAATTTAACCATATATGGCTATTATTCTAATACACGTATTTATATCTATATACTTGGGCTTGTCAATTATCAATTAAGAAGAGAGCACAAGCAAGCATAACATGGAAAAGGTTTTGCTTGACAGCACAATTAGGGTTAATATCAAATCACATGTACAACAATAAATTTCCCCATAAAACTCAAAAGATTTTCCCAAAAATTAACAAGCACACAAGACCAAACAGCTCTAGATGCAAAGCACATGCTTCATACATGGTTAAGACACTGGGAATATAGTGGTAGCGAATAAAATCATTTTATGATGCAAAAGAAATCAAAATAATTTATCAAGAACCTTTCATCGTCATTATTAAACGCATCCCAACAATTTGGGATTAGTTTTATGAATCCTATTTTTTTTTGTTCATATCAAGTAATGCCGAAGGTGTTAAATCCATTATTTATATATTATTTTGGACAATTTTTTTATCAAAGTAACTTTCAATCGACCCCTTCTTCCTAATCCACTAATTCTATCCACTCATCTAATCTGACGAGGCTATGACAAATTTCATCACTAACATTTGTCCATCAACTAGTATTAGTTTATGATAAAATCCACAATCAAATTTGTAAATATTTCACATATGGATCTGGGAGAAACAATTAATTAGAGGAAAGTTGGGGTAAGACTACAAACATCAGCACCTCAAACAATTTCCTCTGATGATTCGTCAGATATTAGCACCTTAAGTGATATACCTTATTCAATTTGTGAATCTATCCCATAGATATTTTTCAAAGAGAAAGGCTAGTGATAAGGTGGTTTCGCTTGCCCTGTTCTTCAGTGAGCCTTATTGTTAGTAAATTTACATAGTTCTCTATTTTTATTTGGCTCATTAGATTTTGTTTTAATGGCTAGTGCGGGAGCTACTATTAGAGCCTTGAAATATAGCTAATTAGCATGGATTCATAAGTCTTGTTTTGATTCACATAGCATATTCTACTCAATTTCTCCATTGTTAGTTTTTTCATCCATGTGTATCCTCAGCTGCACAAGACCATTTTTAAGCTTCCAAGTGATTGCCACTTTCTTGGACTCCATCATCTATTAGTTTGTCGTTTCCCATGAGCTTCATAAGGTTATCCAATATTATTTTTTTAGAGGGGATTTGTGTTTTATAAGGATTATAAATATGAGGTTCTTTTGTTAAAAAAATTTTACTTTGGATATGTAACAATACATCACCTTCCACAATTCAATTCCATAATTAGGAGTGACATTTAAATTTCATAAAAGTTATAACCTTAAATAAGAATGAAAGAATTGTTTTCGATGACCTATTTCATTTTCTTCCTTCCTTCCCTTCATTTTCTTCTATCTATTTTTCCTCATTATTAGTTAAAAGAATGAATGTACTATGATAGAATTCCAATAATATGAAATTCTTATTTTTGAATGAAATTTAACTCATATGTGTGCCTTTCATTATCATTAACATCATTGATGTTATTGTTCAATAAAAAATCAAAATTATTTTTTCCCTTAACAGTCGTTGTCAGGTCTCAAGCTTTGAATGAGAAAAGTGAATGGTTACATTAGGTAGTCCAATGTTTAAAATTGTGTAATCGGATATTGAGGAGTTCTTCATTCATGAGGCGAGGCGTAAGCCTCAAAATCAAAAGATTGCGTAAACATAAAATGATAAAATTTTCAAAACACTAATGAATAAAAAATATAAAACATAAAAAAGGCACAAGATATGAAGTGAAATCAAAATATCTCAATAATAAGACAATATGAAATATAATTCAACTCAAATTCTATCTTTCCCAAATCACATTATTATTTTCATTAACGTATAATTCCAAAAATAAATAGCAATGAATACAACAATATACCGGACAGCCGGGGGTCCAAGGGGGCGCTGCCCCCTGACTGGGTTCGACTTAACAGTACCGAGTATGTACCTAGCGTAAGAGTACTTTTGAAGTTTTTCTTATTTTTAAAGTTCGTAAGTCGTTTGTATGGAAAGATACCGAGCGGTACCGAGTATTGTTCTACCGAGTGATACCGAGCATGTACCTAACGATATCGAGCGATACCGAGCATACATACCAATTGTGGAATCTTATTAGGTTAGGGTTTTTTTTTTAAGAGGCGGAAGCCTCTAAAATATGAGGTGAGGCGCGCCTCAGTGAACATGAGGCGTACGCCTCAATGCCAGATCTCATTGCATAGGCTTTGAGGCTTAAAAGTCTAAAATTGCGCTAAGGCGTGCCTCTTATTGCGCAATTTTAAACCATGGTTTATATTAATCTATAATTCAATAACCCAATTGGCATGATATGCTGATCTGAAGAGCACAAACAAATTAATAGAATTAAGTATGATTATTGAAAAAAATAAAAAATTAAATATTAAAAGAAAAAATTGCCATAGTAACTCTCATCATCTCCAAATGGTTAACAATGTTAATGGACTCTAATCAATATGTAAAACTAAATTGGGTATCTAAGGCACACCATGTCCTCTATCCACTCTAAAATTCTTTACTTAATCGTACGAAGGATTTTGCTATAAGCATTCTGAAAAAAGAAGGATTAGTTTTCTTGGTATAAAATTGGGGAAATCATGCCAGGGTTATTTGTCAAATATTGCAATTCAGATATTGGTATGGAAAATTATTAAAATTACATGATTTTTTTAGTGTTAGAAAACAACAAATATTTGAAAGCAGCTATGCCACTGTATAAGGTCTCCCTCAACACCACAAAACAGAAAGACCTAGCCTACAACAAGTTAGGGGCCAATATGGAGAATTTTGGCCAGTGACCTCATATAATCCTATGCAATTCCGACCACCAAAATTAAAATATTACATGCGCTCCTACATTTCACCTTCGCTTACCTAAATACTTTTTATTATAACACAGCAAAAAAATGGCATTTTGACCTTTTCAGTTGAAACTTCTAAACCTTCAAGTATTGCGTGGGGAGCAAATAATTCTCCCAAAGCTATCTCCATTTGTTCAAAAATTGCAACCCATCTTCAGATTGTTCTCTTTCTTCATTAAATCTAATTAGCAGATAGGCCATCACCATTTAACTGCTACATGTCAACCACTCATTATCGTGGCTTTGTTATTTGATAGCTTGACACACAGAAGATTCAGGTTGCTGAAATTACAGCAAAGATGCGACCTCTTCTGCACTGGACAAACCTAGGTTGCGTCCATCACATTGGGATACATTACTCTTCTTATTGTTTCAGCTTTCTGTGTTACTCATTTTGAGTATTTTTTCAAGGTTAATTGAAAGCCATCTCAGCACATCCAAGAACACATTTTTGCACAAATCGAGGGGACAATCAATAGAAACAAAGTCATATTCATTTGTAGCTTTAAGAGAAAGACGTGGAGTATTTTCTCTCAAACTAAGGGCCCCAATTTGGACATTAGCTCTACAATACCATATTTTGCACTAACAATGCATGTGTTTGATATAATAGGAAATATACCTACTTACCTAGTTAGTACTTGGATTGATTTCTTCATGCAGCTTAGATTAGCAGCATAAAGTGTTCTACCGCAGCACTTGCCATTACCTAGTCAAAACCCTCAAATTGGAACCAAAATCAATTTCTCTAGAAAGTATTTTCACCTGCTTAAATCATGCAAAGTACTTGAGCAGTAATAAAGACTACTCATGTATTTCCTTCAATACATCAAGAGGTGAAATATGATAAAATAATTATTACCTTTAAAATGTAAACTAACAAAGAATCAAAGCACAAAAAGCGATTCTTCAGGCTGCTGGCATCAACAGGTGGCTTCACACTAAAAAGCAGCTCAATCACCTCATCAAGTTGTGCAGAATTATAGAAATCCTTCTCCTGAAGGGCATCAAGTAAGAGAGTAGCAAAAGCATTTCGCTCCCAATAATAAACGAAGAAAAGATATGGTATTACCAACCTTCAAAATTCTACTTAAAGTTAAGTAAGCTTCACATTGGCATACACCATTGATATCCTAGAAAAACAAGGTAAACAGATAGATTGCATAATAACTTATGTCATATAGGAAAAAGAAAAACTAGTTCAATGCTTCAAAAGCAAGTGCCTATTTCAGGACATGGGGATTAAAAGTACCAATAAAGAAGATCTAACAAGATCAAATATTATATTAGTAAGATCAGTGTCTGCTGCCTCAACAAAAGAAGATGCAAGCTCCATCACTAAACGGCTGCAGAAGAGTAAACCCAAATCAACTTCATCATAATGTATATTAAACAAATAATGTGAATAAAGCAGTTGCAGAAAATGTTCCAATACAAATTAACAAAGAAAAGGCTTAGAATCTGATTATATAGAACTAAGATTACTTATCTAACTAAATGGCAATATAAGTTGGCTAATAGGAAGTGGATGCAATTTCAACAAACCAGAGAACGGCACGAGAAATTTAAGAAGAAGAACACACAAGAACTCTTTTTTATTGAAATAACTAAGAAGAAAAACTCAAGATACAGTTGGATCTTCAATTAGAGAGGAAGATCTATCTCTCTCAAATCCCTAGCCATCAGCTAGAGCCCACACAACCTAAGAAAAATTAATTCCAACAAAATCAAACATAATCTTAAATCACCCCATAGTTAGCCTTATATAAGCTCCCATAATTCCCTCCTAATTCAGCCCCCTTTCTTTTGAATTCAAATTAAATCTCTTTTCCTAATTAATTCCTTCTCAATTATAATTTAAACTTTCCTAAACAATCCCCCCTTGATTTCTCCTTACATAATGAATATTAACTCACTTAGGCTTTCCCTAAATAATTCCCACTCAGATTTAAATTCAAAGTAGATTTATTTCCCAAATTAATTCCCTCCCAATTGTAATTAAAACTTTCCTAAACAATTATCCCCCTCTCATCTTGCCCGCCACACCCTAGTGGGGACGACTGGCTTAGCCGCCGGTCCATAAATACTCCACTCCCAAAGAGCCACATTATCCTCAAGGTGGAAAGAAGGAAGCCATTGTTGAAGCTCTGGACTAATAGCAGTGGACTAGAAAATGGACTTACACTAGATCGAACGATCCCTACCTCAAGCATCTCCTTGATTAATCTTTCAATATCTTCATTCTGTATTTGGGGATGACAGTACAGACAAACACTGATAGGTGAGACTTTTTCCATCAAGATGATAGCATGCTTGCATTCCCACGAATGAGAGAACCCCTGAACTGGCTGGAACATCTCTCGATATTGCTATAAGGGTAGTTGAAACATGTCTGGTGCTTCTATGTTCTCTCCATCTTTTTCTTCTTCCAAACTCTGCAGCTCCATCAAATATCCCGCTCCTTCACCCTTTCCCCTCCTTGGAGTGGCTCCAAAGGTAGCATCTCCTCTTCTTCCCACAACATTTTCACCTCCTGATATTCCCCTCTCATTATCGGATTAAGGTTTCCTCCACTCCCTTGGCGGCGATGGCTCCCCTTCCTCCGACGACGTCGTTTTGGTTTGGACCTCAAGCATCTTTGATGCAACCGAAGTTCTATAGCCAAGTAGAACACTAAGAATGCAACAAGACAATTCCTTTCAACAAAACATAAACCAACACCAACTAAATGAAACTTAATAGTAAACAAATATAAGTAAATGATTAGGAAATCTTGCAAAGAAACAAATTAAAACTTAAAATTAAGTACCCTCAGACCAGCCTAGAAAGGTCACCTCACATGCAAAACCCAAAATAGGAAAGGTGCTCAAAGGAAAGGAAAAACCAATGGTTAACCACATAAATTTTGATCAAGCTCAAGTCGGCACCCCTCCGGCAAATATCAACAAACAGGGCACAACAATACCTTGAAACTCACAATATTTTGAAAAGAAAGATACAAGTGGAATGGGAATCATGGATAGAATATTAGATAGAAGACTGAGATGAAATATAAGAAGGAAGGCAGAAGAAGATAGCTCGCAAGTTAAATAAGCCGCAGGTTTTAGTGTGATTACACCAGCAACAATAACCACCAACCTCTTCAAGCAGCAAAACAGTCCATATATATAGGAGAAGGGGGGAAATGACCATAAATTGCTCACTTAATTATGCCACCCAAACAGCCAATAAAAGCCTCTCAAGTTAGTCAATTTAATGAGGAGTTAATGCTATCAATACAAGAAAACATCAAGATGGAAACCAAGCAGCCAGCAGCAAGGGAAAACAGGACAACAGCATAGGGGAAAAATAGCCAGCATAGGAAAAACCAACAGCAAGAAAAACGAGAAAGCAGTATGGGGAAAAATAGCTAGCATAGGGAAACAGTTGAGCCAAGCAAAATAAGCCAAACAGCCCAAAATAAATACCCAACTAACCATCAAAAAAGCTAGATCAACACAAGTGGAAAGCAAAGGAGTGAAACTTCCTAAGAGCATCAAACAAAAGCATGATCACCTGTTCTTTTCCATCATAGGGTATTGCAAATAAAAAAAAGAGTCCAAAACATAGAAAAAAAAAAGAAAACATAGATGTTGACCTCAATACTAGTGTCGGAATCGAGTCGACCACGCAAGATAAGTTTCGAAAGCAAGAGACCTCAAAATCGCGCAAAACTCACTTGACGTGCATCGATCGAAAACCCAAAATAGCTGAAATGGCCTCCGTTCACGAAACGGAGAGCGTTGATGCGTCTGGAACAACGAAAATAGCTATAAGATCTACACTTATATTATTTGGGATCGCTGATAGACAAAAATTTAAATTTTGTGCGCATAAATTGAGGCGACGATGTACGCGGGCGATGACGACGACATGATGATCGACTTCATGCACGAATAATTTTTTTTTCATGCCATATATTTATAAATAATAATCTAAAAAGGAGAAAAAGAGAGGTTTAAAAAGAAAATAAAAAGAAAAACTTTTAATAAAAAATCCCTAAAATACCCCTCCCATACACTCATAACCCTCATAACTCCCTCTCCATCTCATCTCACGACTCCCTCTCACACAAAAGCCACTCCCTCTTTGGTTCTCTCTCATGCAAGCTGTCGGCCCCCTCCAAGCTCAAGGTAACTTCTTTTTCTTCATATCCTCTTCTTCTTCTTCTTCTTCTTCCTCCCTTCTCCATTCTTCTTCTTCTTTCTAGTTCTTCTTTCTTCCTCATCTGTTTCTTTATTTCATTTCCTTCCATTTTCTTTCCTCTTCCGCTTCTTCTGCTTCTTCTTCTTCTTCCTCCTCCATTATTTTCCTCCAAACATACCCTAATCCTAAATCCTAATTCTTCAATTTCTCCACATCCAACCCTCAAACAACCTCCCTTCACAAAAAACACTCTCCCACACATCCTACACACCCCCAACCAAAAATCCCCTTCACCCTCCACTTTCTCTCTAAAACCTAGAGAGAAATTATTTCTAGAAATTCCTTCACAAATACTTCCCTCTCCATCCCAAACACCTTCCTTCACCACCATTCCCCCATATCACTCCTACTAGAGAGAAAAAATCCCCCCTCTCTAAGATTAGAGAGATGAACTTTCTCTCTCCAAACATCACCCTCCATCCCCTACGCATCTTACACCTCTTTCCATCAAAATTCCTTTTTTCCCTCTCTTTCACTCTCTAGAAAGAGAGCTCACCCTTTCTTTTTTCTCTCTAACCATTATTTTAAATAAAAAATTATTTATAATTAATTAAAGAGCATTAATGATAATAAAAAAATTTATATTGTGCATCGCATGATTCACATCATCGTCATCGTCTGTCTCGTCACCTCGATCATCGCACATCTAAGGTATAAATTCGATACAAGTATTTCATAATTTATATGCATGAAATTAACTACTCATGACCGCTTTTATTAGCGAGCTGGGAAATTCATATGCATGAAATATAAGTACATGTGACCACTTTTATTAGCGAGCGGAAAAATTCGTATGTATGAAACATAAATACTCGTGACTGCTTTTATTAGCAAGCTGAAAACTTTATTATATATGAAAAGAAAATTAAGTACTCATTATTGTGTTCTTAACAAGCGGAGAAATGTTATGTTTTAAGCAGATGCCTGAAGACCCCGTGACCGCTTTTATTAGCAAGCAGAAAATGAAACTGCGGCCATGCTGACACCTAACACCTACCGTGATTGCCTTTCTTAACAAACAAGAAGGTTTTACACACCTCGATGCAGTCCCCTATGCGGGAACGACGTCTGAGTTCTGCTGAAATTTTCAACAAAGCTCATGACATAAAAAATTATAAATAAATTAAAATCTACCTTAATTTCTAAGTCGACAAAAAATAAAACACAAAACATCCGAAGTTCTCAACACTTAAAGCAAAGTTAAAAGTAAATCTATACCATAATAGAATACAACTTATTGTAAATTTATAGGGAAATTAGTTGTTCACCAACAGGTAGGAACCAAACTTATTTCTCTTTTCTATTGACTTGTACACACCCAAACTCCCAAGCAACACTCCTTGCAGAAATGAAGAGAGAAAAAATGAATTGATCCTCCCTACTATTTATAACATAAAATTCAAATTATTTGCGGGTCCCGCCAGCCTAGGATCCCTTTGCTAAAAAACGGGGAAGGTACTCCTACGGGCCTCGCCAGTCTAGGATTTTTTGATAAAAAATAGGAAAGATAGGTTGCTGGCCCCACCAACTTAGGATTCATGTTTAAAATGAGTTAAGATGTCATTTCGAGACTCTAGCTTTAGATCCCTCGAGTATTCACCAACAGATAAAATACAAGCGCAAATATCTTTACCCCTTCCCTTTTTAAGAAAATTATCACTCGTTTAGGTGTATTTGCGCTCGTATTTCACTCACTGATAAATACTCTAGAAATCCAAAGTCAGGGCCTCGAAATAACATCTTAACACATTTTAAACATTGCTCCTAAGCTGGTGGGGTCCGTAGGCAAATATTTCATGTCTTTTAGCAAAGGGATCCTAAACTAGGGGGCTCATAGGCGTACCTTCCCTGACTTTTAGCAAAGCAATCCTAGGCTAGCAGGGCCCACAAATAATTTGATTTATATGTTATAAATAGGAGGGAGGCTCAATTTATTTATTCACACTTCATTTCTACAAGGAGTATTGTTGGGGAGTTTGTGTGTGTGCGAGTCAAAAGTTAAGATAAATAAGTTTGGTTCTTATATATTGGTGAACAACTAATTCTCCTACAAGTTCACAGTAAGTTATATTATGTTATGGTCTGAATTTTCCTTTTCATCTTTGCTTTTAGTGTTTGAAACCTAAGATGTCTTTTTTTTTTTACTTAAAAATTTAGTTTGATTTTAATTTATTTAAAATTTTCTAAGTCATGAGCTTTTTAAAAATTTCAGCAACACTCCAACATCGTCCCCGAATAGAGGGCTGCATAAGGGTGTATAAAGTATTCATGTTTGCCAAGAAAGGCAATCATGATATGTGTCAGGTGACAGCACAGCCGTAATTTTATTTTTCGCTCACTAATAAAAACGATCACGTGGTCTTCAAATATCTGTTTTAAATACAGCATTCCTCGCCTACTAAGAAAAGCAATAATGGGTACTTAATTTTTTTTTCATATATAATAAATTTTCCAGCTCGTTAATAAAAGCAGTCACAGGTACTTATATTTCAAGCATATGAATTATTCCGCTCGCTAATAAAAATAATAATGGGTATTTATATTTCATGCATACGAATTTTTTCGCTTGCAAATAAAAACGGTCACAAACACTAATGTATCCTCGCTCGCTAATAAAAACATCACGAATACTTATATTTCATGCATATAAATTGTGAAATACTAGTATCTAGTTTATATCTTAGGTGCGCAGAGACCAATATGATGACGGTAGAAGGCGACGACAACGGAAAACATGTGATGCACAATATATTTTTTTTGTTATTATTTATGCTCTTTAATTAATTATATATACTTTTTTATTTAAAATAAGAGTTAGAGAAAAAAAGAGAGGGTGAGCTCTCTTTCTAGAGAGGGAGAGAAAGGGCTTTTAGTGGAAAGATGTCTAGGATGCATAAGGGGAATGGAGGGTGATGTTTAGAGAGAAAATCCCTCTCTCCAATTTTAGAGAAAGAAAGAGGGAAATTTGTTTCTCTCTAAGAGGGGAGATATGGGAGAATGGTGGTGAAAGAAGGTGTTTGGGATGGAGAGGGAACTATTTGTGAAAGAATTTATCTTTCTAAAGAAATAATTTTCTCTCTCTAGGCTAGAGAGAAAGTGGAGGGTGAATGGGGCTTTTTGGTTGAGGGTGTGTAGGATGTGTGGGAGAATATTTTTGGTGAAGGAAGGTTGGTGGTTTGAAGGGTAGATATAGAGAAATCGAAAAACTAGGGTTTAGAGTTAGGATATGTTTGGAGGAAAATGGTGGATTAAGAAGAAGAAGATGAAGGAGAAGGAAAAGAAGAGAAAGAGAAAAGAAAATGGAAATATGGAATAAAATGAAATAGGGAAATGGAAGAGGAAGAACGAAGTAGAAAGAAGAAGAAGAAGAAGAAGAAGAAGAAGGAAAGAAGAGGAGGAAGAAGAAAGATGAAGGGAGGAAGAAGAAGAAGAAGAGAATGAGAGGAAGAAAAAGTTACCTTGGTGGCTTGCGTGAGAGAGAACCGAAGGGCATGGCTTTGGCGAGAGAGAGAGAATCGTGAGATCAGATGGGGCAAACTTCTCATTGATCTTCTCACGGATAGCTAAATATTATTTTTTGAAATCTGCAATCTTTTTTATAAAATCATATTTCAATTGTTTGATATCCCCTTCCAACACTTCTACCTTTATTCCCATCATAGATTCCTGGATCTAGCCCCAAACAACAAAAGAAACAGCAAAAAACAACGAATCTAATCTTCAAACAGCAAAAATCAGCAAGACGAAGGGAACAAACACATCATAAATTAGCGAGGAAGACTTATATTTCAACCTAGACGGCTCTGATACCAATTTGATAGGAAGTTGATACAATTTCAACAAACCAGAGAACAGCTCAAGAAATTTAGGAAGGACACACAAGAACTCTATTTTATTGAAAGAACTAAGAAGAAAAACACAATACAGCTGGATCTTCAATTAGAGATGAAGATCCAGCCCTCCCAAATCCCTAGCCATCGTTTAGAGCCCACTCAACCTAAACAAAACTAATTCCGACAAAATCAAGCATAATCTGAAACTACCCCATAGTTAGCCTTAAATAGGCTCCTCTAATTCCTCACAAATCAGTCCCTTTTCCCTAAATAATTTCCTCTCAAATTTTAACAAATTAAATATCTTTTCTTAATTCTCTCTCAATTGTAATTAAAGCTTGCTTAAATAATTCCCCTTGATTCCTCCTTACATAATGAATATCAACTCCCCTAGGCTTTTCCCTAAATAATTCTCTAAGATTTTAATTTCAAATTAGATTTCTTTGCCTAATTAATTCCCTCTGAATTGTAATTAAAATTTTTCTAAACAATTCCCCCTCTCTCTTCTTGCCCGCCCACCCTAGTGGGGCCCACCGGCTTAGCCGCCAGTCCATCATTAGCTTCACCTATTGTAAGCCTATATAAACAAAAATAAGCAGCAGGAAACTAAAACCAAATAAACTTTAAATTATCATCTTATATGAAACCCATGCATGAAGAAATTATAAGACCGTCTTGCAGTCTTATTGAAAGGGATGGTATCAAATCTAAGGCCAGCATCACCCAACCATATCTCACAACAAAATTCTTTAGTTACTAGCATTGCTATGTTTAATTGGGCAAGTAAAAAGCCTGTAGACCAAAATCATGGTAAGACGACATAAGCCAAAAGAAATTACAAGCTGGATTCCAAGAACGGCTCATTTGGTTGGTTGTAGATGGAAAATACGTTTTAGAAAGTGATGATTTTATTTTCATTCATTTTAGTTAGGAAAATGAAATCCTTGTGATGGATTTTGAAGGCATTTGTAGAGTTGAAAATCCATATTTATTGCTAATTACATCCAACCAAATGATAGAATTAATAATTCATAATTTTTATAAACATGAGTTCTAATTTCAAGCACACAATGAGAACAAATGTCCGAAAACTTATGATCAAGTCGATTTTTCTACCTGCCCATCTATCTAGCTTTCTATTAAGAGATCATATTAAGTGTCATATAAATAATGAAAATATTTTAGTTTTTGATAGGAAGAATAGATTAAGCAAATTATAATTGCAAAGGTTGGGCATATCAAATATCAGGATGTAAATAACACGATGATATAAGCACTAACGCCAAGAGTTACATCACTATAGCATTATGATCGAGAAAACAAAATATTTGTCTTCAATTGACTGATTAATGATACTTCATTCAATAAACAAAATACATATGAGATTACCAAACAAACTCTACCCACACATACCAATTCCTTTTCAAAGATGCCAAAAATTTAACCCAAACTGCAAGTTACAAAGCATCATAATGAAAAGCTAAACACCTTGAATGAGGGACAAATATAAACAGATATATAAGACTGACAGAAGAAAAAATAAAAAATAAAAATAAAATAAAAAAACAAAAAAAATATAAGACTGACAGACTGCAACACAATAACTCAGCACCAAAGCTAATAATGATTCACGACAATCAGAGATCCTATATCGAGAGAATGGATATATTTTAAAATTAAGAAAATAAATATAACAAGAAAAATTCAGTACAAGTAGCCTGTTTATCACCTCCTTTCTTCATTTTTCTCCAATACTGCTTTGGCCTCACCAACCCTTCTGTTTTCTTCTTGAACGTGATCATATAAACTCTCAGAATCTGTTAAAATACTAGAATTTTCAACAATTTTCAATTCTGAAAGAAAAAAGTTCCTTATATATTCACTTGGAATGATGAAACCGAGGGATCCAAGAGCATCCTGTAAAAATTGAAAAAAAATTAGTCAATAACTGATTCCAAACTCACTTAAAACTTAGCTGTAATATCTTTGGTGAGTCTTTCAGCACTATTAGGTCATCTAGTTCTAAACGTGGTAGGGTCAAAGACAAAAAAATGAATTTAACCTAAATTAATATGTCATTCTCACTGAGCTGTCATTTTTGAGACACACGGTAACATTAGTCAATAAGTTGCATGCAAATACGTTTCCGAATTTTAGCACAAAGTAATTCAACCAAGTATCGATGGAGCAGAGTCTGTATATCATTGACCTATGTTCACAATCTCTACAAAAATAATAATAATAATAATAATAAAACAAGTAAAGAATTTGAAGATTCAGGATTTTGGCCAGGTAAGGCTTCTTTTCATCCAAGTCATGACCTAAAACACTTAAAAGTTAAAACTATGACAAGCAGTGAAAGAAGTTGGACAACTCCACACACATTATGAATCTCACAGGAGAAATCGGATTGTGTTTTAATTTATGTTGATTTTAATAAAGATCTTCAATTTAACCTTCAGTAATACTAATATTTTTTATGTAAATGATGTTAAAAAGGATTCACATATGTATATACATGAACCAAAAATGTTTTCATGTTTCTACATGCACTTTGTCTGGTAATGGAAATCTAATATATATACTAATTAAAAACTAAAGTTGTGTGCCAATGAGCAGATTGATGATTTGAGAAATATTTTACTTTGGTATTCTATGTTTTTTTATGAGTTTATTAACTTATTTTTGCGAAGCATGCCTATGATTATGAGAGCAAGTTGTGTTCTCCAATATTTATTTTGAATCAATTGGCTCCTTATTTTAGCTTTAGCTGATTCAACTGCTGGTTCCTTGGTTCAGCTATTGGTACTCTGATTTTAATGTTTTGCTGCTAATGATTTTGTAGATGTGCTTTTGGGCCTAACTTCTCTATAGACTTGCGATTGCAGCCTTAAATAAGCTTTTGACTGTTGAATTCATATGGTTGTTATTCGTGATGCTGTAGCAAAATGGTACTTGTGAATTCTTACAGTGAGATTGTATTGTGAGCCATATTATTCCCCAGGACTCCGACTTTCGTCTACAGTTTTTGCAAGCATATCGGTAAGTAGTTTATTAGCCTAATGGCATGTTGCTCCATTCACATCTTACATGAAGGGGATTTAAATGGGGATTGCTACTACCGACTTAATTTCCTTTTTTTTAATCCGAGGAAAGGATGTTACGATTATAAATATGGAATTTCGAAGACATGTAAATAACAGTCTAATTATTTAATGAAATTTCAGTTTTTTCCCTAAAACTTATGTTCTTATTAGATATTAAGTTCATTGAGTAGTATAAGTCTGATTGTCATTTTTGTAAGGAAGTCGTCTCCTTATACCGGTGTCAGGCATCTATCTGTTATTTGGTGATTTCTTAACTTGTTATTTGTTTTATCTACACATTTTGTGATTGATATTTTAAGGCGTGGTAGTTTTATTCAAAGTTGCTACAATTTTGGATTTTTAATTCCATCATAAGGGGCTGTTTGGCAACAAGATTTAACTCAAATAGGATTTAGTTAATATGAAGTTAGTAAATCCTGAGGCAGTTAAATCTTGAAGATATAGTAGAGGTTAAATCCTGTTAAATCTTCATCTATTATTTGACTATTTATTTCAAGATTTAAGTCTGTTAATTGAAATAAGATTTTAATAATATCTAAAAATTGGTATAGGTTTAACCACCTAATTTTAAATTTAAATAAATATACATTAATTTATTACAATAATTGTTATATGTTAATTAAATATTTTGACAAATTCGTATTGGTTTATCAATATATTAAAAACATACTATTGAACATTAATTAACTTAACTAATTTTCACCTAATAAAGCATTAGATGTTAACTTAAGCAAATCAAGGATTTATTAGGCTATTTTCTATTGTGTGTTAATTAGGGATTATTTAGACTTAACTAAAAATAAATTAGTATATAAATATTTAATTAAATTGAGTATAATGAATAGGATGCTAAGTAAAGCTAACTAGATACTAATTATGATTTTCTTAATAGGGCTAATTAAGGATTAATTATACAGATATATATTATTTAATTAGTATTTGATTTCCTAGTAATTAATAAATTTAAATTAAGCTGATTAGGCATGTGCGGGAACCTTTTCCTCACCATCGTTCGTCGTTGCTCATAATTGCGTGAAGGGAACGACATTTATAGCTTCGGTGTCGAGCATTTTTCCTCTTTACCATTCCATTGTAGCTACAACATATTTTACATGAAGAGAATGATGTCCAACATCAAAGTCATAAAGTTTGAGCTTGCTTTCAATCGGCTGCCCATTTATAATTTAGTAAATCCAAGATTTAGAGAGAAAAAAGGGGAAAAACGACGTTATCTCAGGATTTAATTTGTCGTGATATTTACAAATGTGTTTGTTTGTTGGATTTAGGTTAAATCTTGCTACCAAACAACCCCTAAATCCAAAATTGAAGTGTGAATTTTATGGTCTTAAAATTTTGAAGAATTTTTAAAATTATCCAATCATTACATTATTACTAAAGGAATTTTACATTTTTATTTTGATTACATTAAAAGAAAAAAGTACTTGTTTTAATTATAGGTTTGTTAATTGTGAATTCTAAACTATGAGTGTTTCAATTTCATTTGTAGCAATATTTAGCTATATTAGGAAATTAGAGACAAAGAAGACTAAGTCCTACATCATATAACACCTAAATCATAGTTTTAAAGGCAATTGGCACCAAAATCATTTTAATTTCTAATCAGCACCATTGCGTTAGAATAAAATTTTTAAGGGCAAAATCTTTAAATTCAATTTTTTAGTAGTTTTTTGTTAAGGGTAAAATTAAGAGCATACATGTATTTAAATCTGCGCATACATATATTCTAATCCTTTAGGTGATAGCCTAAAATGCAAAATACAATAAGATGTATCTAGTTATTCTAGATACAAGTTCCTAGAAACTAATATATGAAGCAAAGTAGGATCTAATGGTTCTCAAGAACTATAAAGGCCTAAATCTATTTTGATAGGTCAAATCATGCTAGTTTAAAATGCTGTATGCCTAGTAAGAAGTTAAGGAAATAAAACAAACATAATAGAAATAAATATAAAAATAGTACTTGAAAAATTACATAACTATTATGATACTTTTGAGAAATATTATATATAACACTCAAATTTTATTAATTTTTTACAAAACTAACACACAATACTTCAATTTTTAATAATAAAACTAAAACCTTAAACAAAACGGCAAAACTATCAATTTCATTCTCAATGGTTGGTTAAACTATCAATGAGGGTTAAATCCAATAATGGTCCTCCAAGTATTTATAGGTGGATAATTTAATCTCAAAATATAATAATTCTCTAATTTAATATGTTGACTATATAAGATCAATAAAAAATGGTCCCACAAGACTAAATTGTGATCAATTTTGTATGATACAAGGACTAAATTAAGATCAATATTGAATCCTAATTTCTACATGAGAGCCCACTTGATCAATTTTATACAACCGAGAAGACTAAAATGGAGAAACTTGATACTCCATGACTAAATTAATCACATATGAATAGTAGGACTATTTTAGGATGACTAGACCCTTATAAGACTAAGCAACTACAAGAACTCTATGTAACTACTTGCTAATGAAAAATCAAGAAAGAAACAAGAATTACATGATTATGCAAGAATGCAAAATCACGAAGCTTGCTTTCCAATGAATTTTTGTGCAAGTGTGAAGAACTTTGCACCAAGAAATGAGTATTTGGGCGAAAGACTGCTGCTGTACCGTCAGATTTTAGCAATTTCAGCCACCAACATGGCTTGCAGCAACCTTCCAGATTCACATTACAATGGCTGAAGCTATTTCAAAGATGACTAGAATTACCGCCACCTACACTAGGTTTCGGAGCTTGCTGGAATGGCCAGATACCCTCACTATTTCACCTTCCCAAGCCACCAAGATTTCAAAAGAATCCATCAAGAATTGGGATATGGGAACCCCACCAAGAAAATAGTGCCGATTTGCCTGGTCAAAAGCAAAGAACAGAGACCTTTACTCTGTTTATTGAAGGAAAATGGACCCTTACAAATTTCCAGCTGCTGGAGTTGTGCGGCTATTTGCAATGGATAGGCACCAGTAGATGAAATGGACCCTTACAAATTTCCAGCTGCTGGAGTTGTGCGGCTATTTGCAATGGATAGGCACCAGTAGATGGACTCCAAGTGCTGAAATCAATTTTAACAGTCTTCAACTCTATTATAACCACCAATCCTATGGAATACTTTTTTTCACTGCTGCTTCTAGATTTTCTGCTGCAAGAACAGGGCGACAGCCATTTGAAATGGAAATGATAAAATCAAATAGATTAGGAGAAAGGAAAAAACAGGCGATCGATTGTGGAGAAATCCAAGACTACACTACGATCTCCTCCCCTCCTCAACTCTACAAAACTTGTGGAATCCACCTCAAAATAGGGAATCCACCATCTGACTTAAGAAAACTTAAAATAAAACACAACCGAATCCCCCACCCTTTCTAAGGGGATGGGTTATTCATGGGCTAACCACTCCAAATAACCTCTATGCCCCCTTGATTACTAAATTATGAAGAAAAATAAGTCAAAATCTCTAATAATTAGTAAATTAATTATGAAAAAGGACCCCTCCTAATACTATGTCAAATCTGTTTATTGATTTTGGTCGTAGCATGCACAAATACTTGGGTATTGGATTTGTATGTGAGGATGACTTTTGTAGTAGGGTTTTAATTTCCCTCATATTTATTTTTGGACCTAATCTCAAGCAACAAAAACTTCTCACCTTCTGTGAAAAATGTACACAATTGTGAAGATAATAATAAATAATTTCTTGTAAAGAACTTAATCTGTAAAATAAGAAAAACTTTAAGAAAAGGAACACACCTTAGTGCATTCACGTTTATCTGGGGAATCAAAGAATATATCTTTGAGAATCTGAAACAATTCCATTGACCTCGAGGCCAATGCCTTCATGTTCTTAGAAGCAACTTCCCTTGAATAGCAAAAACTTCTGAATTCCATATCAAAATTTTGAGAAAAAATGCTCATTGGTTCATCTACACAATGTCGAATGTCATCTCTGTTTGAGTGGACAAGCACCTGGATGTACTCAAATATTCAAAAAGTATAACTTCTTGAATGGAACAAATATGCCATGGGGCACAATGCAGCTTCATAAAAAAGATATAAAAAGCTGGCAAAAAATATATAAAAAGGGAAACCTGCAAAGCAGAAGCTATGATTTCATGTAAAGATGGCTCTTCCTTCAGAACAACCACACAAAGCAAGGACAATGATTCAATTTTTTCTGATATGTCAATTGGATACCGACAGAAGGCAGGAAGAAGATCCCATAGGCTATGGAAACATGACTGCAGACTCTTCCGTATGGATTCTTTCTTAACTGAGAAACAAAATCAATCATATTTTAAAAGTTCTTAAGATGATGAATTTTTAGCATTCAGCATTTCAGGTTATACCTTTTTTACATGATTCCTGAATATACTTTGCCAGAGGAGCAATACTATCCATAAAATATTGTAGGGATGCTCCAACTACATATTTCTTCAAAATAGGTATGATCCATGAATTAGAAAAGGTCGATTTATCCATATCAATAGCTATGGGCACCAATGAAAGCAGTTTCTCAGGACCCACTGCAATCACAGCTGCCCCAAGACACTGCTCTAGCTGAGAGAAGAAAGTAAAACAGCGATGAATAATCCAATATTACAATTAGCAGAAAAATAATTATCATAATATTTCTTCAATGATCATAAAAGATTTAAATATGCAACAGCCTCTATTCTGACTTACATGCTTCATTTTAGGTTTCTCCTCATCTACGTTGAGTGCAAATTGTGCTAATCTGAGCAAAATTTCCTTCATGAAAAAAATTGAGGACCCACCTAGAAACAAGATTTATGGAATTAATAATGCTCGTTAAGATAAAAAATAAAATAAGAAGATAGAATTTATTAACTAAATTGAAGCATTTCCAATAATTCCTCGCATAAGCTTAAACAACTTTTGGCAACTATTCAGTGACTTCCGATGTCAATCAATTGGACGTAAGACATTCTAATACAGATCAAAAAGCAAGTAAAATTTTGAAGATGAAACTCTATTACTAAGCACCTTCAAATCTTTAGTGCCTACTGTTTATTGGTGCATTTTATGCAGGTCATGGTATGCTTTTGTATTTACATCAGTGCGTCTATGAGTAACATTTGCAAATATTACATTTGTTCTAACAAGATAAAGATATCATTTGACTTCAAATAATCTTCCAATGGAATGCATCATTCGTTTTTCGAACTTGCAAATAGACTCTAACACTTTTATGCTTTTGAGGAGACTTCTTCTCAAGCAGGACGAAATGATAAATTATATTCAATATAATATGACCATCTAATCAAGTTACAGTTCAAACAAGTACAATTTATCATGGGCCAACCCTAAGGAGTCAAATCAAATAACAAAAGAGCTCAACCGAACCAATTTTAATGCATTTCTAGACCCATTATCATATGTCAAAATTCATATTTTTCATTATTAAATTAATTTGAAATATAATAAGAATAACAATGTCCTTATTTAAGATTTTAATTCCTTTATATATAATGCCTTATGTATGGACTTTCATTATTTATTAATTCAAATTTTTGAAATTAGATGGATTCAAAGATGAGTTCCTACAACCCTTATTTTGTCTTCCTAGTTTATTTTTCTCTCGAGGATTCGATAACCAAATATCTCATGGATTAAGCACCAACGGCATGATGAAGTGAAGTTTGATATCCTTTTTCTCACTTTCATTCATATTCTCTATTAATATTCACCATTCCACTGCATATTCTATGCCAACAACTCAAATTTTCCTTCTTTTATAAAAAGAATTTGATGTGGGAGTTTTTTTTTCCCCAATCAAAACTCTGCCTTTTTCTCATTTTCATTCATATTTTCTATTAATATTCACCATTCCACTGCAAATTCTAAGCCAACAACTCCAATTTTTCTTCTTTTATTAAAAGAATTTGAGGTGGGACTTTTTTTTCCCGATCAAAACTCTGCAACATGGGATTTACCATATATGAGCTTCAAATCCAACAACTTGGCAAAAATTCCAAAGCCTTCAACAATCAAACAAGTTGAGAACAGTAAATAGGTGAAAATATAAATCTATCTCAAATTTTAACTTTAAGCTAAAGAGATGGGAAGGTTTCAAGATAGTTTCATGGGTTGTTAGAGTGATAGTGAAAGATTAGAGTATGATAACTAAAAATAGTGATTAATTTTAGAATTTTGGAGTAGACTTATTGCTGAAATTTTCTACAGTAGATGATCATATTTTCTTTGATAGAAAAGCATAAGATTATTCAAATCAAAGGCTTAGGATGTTAGCTTAATTGAGGTAATTATAAATCATTTGAATAAATAGATAAATCATAAATTTATATGTAAACTGTTCACAGCAGATAGGCAGAAGATAATAGGAATTAGGATTATGTGGAAGTAGTGTGGCCTAATTTTGATGAGATATTAAGTGGTTTAAGGCTTTTGGAAGATGGTGAGGATGTACAAGAACAAGTTTAGAGAGGTAGAGAAATAGCTTAGAGTTTGCAAACCTTGATTGTAAATGATTTGTAAATCAATCTAAAAGCCAACAACGCAACAACAACTTGTAGCCACAAGTTTTAAAAGAGGTAAAAGCTATTTTTTATTGAAGCATTGGGGTATAAATAATAATAAAACGATTTAGAAAAAAATGAAATATGCCAAAATTCCCTCCTTCAAAATTCACCCATTGGTTATAATGACAGACCTCATTCACTCCTATTTTGAAAAATAAATAAATCACTCTAAATAGAAAAGATTCATTGAAATCTTTGATTGCCATTAAGAATCCTCTTTTTGGGTTGATTTATGAGTTTATAAAAGGGTATTTAACATTTAAAAAATTTCGTAGAAATCTTATATGATTGACCCCTCAAATTCAAAAGTAAAATAATAAAAAACAAATTCTGACTAATATCATAAAATTTGGCCTTTTTAGTTGATCTAATGAGATGACTGCTTGCTTGTCCTGCACTATAGTCCAAAATAACAAATTTTTATAAATACTCTTACTAAAAGAAAATTAATCACAATTTGTACATACCTTAAACTCATCTATTTTAAATTTTAGGCTTATCATAGCAATATTATTGAAGACAAATCTTAACAATTTTTCCCTTTATGCAAATCATGTGGCAATATATTTGAATCTCATATATGACCCTTCAACAACCCAAACTCTCTAAGCTCCTAAAATGCCAGGGGTTGAGCACCATACAAACACATAAACACAAATAATATAAGAACTTGACATCTACAAGAGAGCTATGAAGAATAGATGCTGCACACCAAGATAGATTTACTGATCATGAAATGCATATGAAACTGTTGGCATGGCCTAGCATTGGAAATAGAATATGCAATAAGAGACTAATCCACCTGATCGTCTCATATAGTCTTCTCCTAAACATGCATCGCCTTTAATCTTTAAATTTTGAATTGTTGAAATGAAACTCATTTTTTCTACTTTTTGAGTTACAAGTGCCGCAACACAAATGATGATTAAAATTTTAGCTCAACTCGAAGCTTTACCATACAGCAAATAGAGATCCTTCTTTACTTCCATAAGAAATAATGCAACATTACAAATTTTAAGAACTTAAACATTTCTTGAGAAAATGCATCCATCTTGACGTAAAGCACTCAATGACATCAAATTATTCCTCTGGTCTAATGGACGTTTGATTCTTATTGATGTCCTAATCACATCATTATGCATCTTTAACTTCACATTAAAGTTCTTCTCATACAAATCTGGGCAATAACAAATGACTCATTAGTGTAAAACAATTTCATATGAAAGTGCAAATAATCTTAGTAAAAAATTCATCGATCATTACATTGCCTCTTGCTGTCAAGGACAAAAAATCTCTTAAACTTGCATCCTACCATTTTGAAGTTAAAAAGGCAGTTATAGATTTATCATTTTATGACTGACATTAAAATGGGGCTCATTCCTCTCCAAAGCCTGAAATTCTTTCTTTGTGTGTCCTTTTTTTACTTCTTTTTTTTTTGGCAATAGAAGCAATCAGCATCATTATACCTACCACATACCTTCTACCATAATTAAAGATACACCCATTTTTTAATTATTTTCTCCTAAATAAGGGTATAACTGAGTTTGTTCTGCTTGGATTGGCTTGATAAATAACTCATAAATTGAGCTCATCGAACTAACAAGTCAAACTTGAATCAGGGCTAACAAGATTTGTAAGCTTGTGACTTAGCTCGTTTAAAAAATGTTAATATAAAATGCAATTAAAATATATTAAATTCAAGAGTTTAAATATTAAGTAATTAAAATTCTTTAAAAATTATATCTCAAAACCTCATACTGAGTGATTTTTTATTATTTCTCTTATAACTTCTCATTATTTTTATCGATTAATTACAACTACTTGAATCAAATTTATTTTCTCTTTCAAAATAAATGAGTCAACTCCTGAGTGGTTGGAGCTCATAGAATAGTGCTTGAGCTTAAGTTCAAACTCAATTAATTAATCAAGCTCAAGCTCAAGGTATAGGCAGTTCGAGCTCGACTCGACTCATTCACACCCCTTCTCCTAACCAACAATCCCTTATCAATTTTTCATCTCCTACAATTTTAAGCTAAGCAACTACATCTTTAGAACAAGTGAATGCTAATTCATCATACAATTTAATATGAAGGTGTTATAAGAAGGCATTAAAAACCACAAGAGTAATAAAGATTTATCCTCTCAATCAAAGTTGTGAAAATTGGACCGGACATCGAACCGGAAGAATAAGAGGTTCAAAGTTCAATGGTTCAACCGGGGTTGAATTGAGGTTGAATTAGATGATGTAATAAATATTAAAATTATTTAAATAAGATTTAAATAATATAATAATGTTGTAATAAGTATATAATCATATAATTGTGTGACTAAAAAATAAAGAGAATTCATGCATAATATTTTTTAAATTTTTAATTTAAATATTTTTCAAATTTTAAATTTAATTTTTAATCTAAATTTAATTTACATATAATTATATAATTATAACTAATTAATGTTAAGTATTTAAATATAATTCATTCATATGATAGGAAAGTTTTATTTTGTATGGTTTATGTAACTTTTGCTTTTGCATATGATAGGAACTCACATGGAGTGCGAATAAATATTAATATTTTTAAAATAATTTTATTTTATTTATTAAATTTAAATATTAAAAAAATAAAAATCATCTAAGTTTTAATTAAATGTTAAATAATATATATATATAGACTAAGTTTTAAAAATCTCACTTAATTTTTAAAAATCCCGCCTAATTTTTAAAAATACTGCTAAAATTTAAATTTTCCCTCCCATGGATGGCGAGCCGGCTCGAGCTCGTTTACAGTGAGACGAGCTCGAGTTCGAGCTCGACCCAAGCTCAAGTTCAAGCTCGCTTTTCATGTAACGAGTTGAGCTCGATAAGGGCCAAAACTCGACTCGACTCGTTTACACCCCTAGTTCACGATTGAACATGTCAAACCAGCCGGTCTGTTCCAATTTTTAAAATTATGCTATCAATAACTATCAAATATAAATTCCACAAATCCCAAACAATAGACTTAAACTCATTAAAATGAGATATAATAGTTACCTTCTTGCATGTGTGGTTAGTGCAGCCTGCGCTTTTGATAATTTTTATTGGTGATTTATTGGAGAGCCTTTTGGTCATCAATTAAAACACTAATTTGAGCAACAAAGCCATTGATGCTATTTCATTCAAGCCCTCTAACAAGACTTCATCCGTTAAACATTCTTGGATCACCAAGAAAGCTTTT